AAGATCCGTGAAACTCTGGAAAAGGTATACACCGCAACTGCAAACAAGACCATATCCACAGTTTTAAGTGTAAAGTTGGTCCCGACCCGAGCTACAGGGGCGATGACTGCGCCCGGGAACATTACGAGAACAGCTACGATAAACCGGTGGTCTTCAAGTGTCCTCACAATGGCTTTATAACAGGAATCCGCAGTGAATACAACACTCATCACAAAGATCGTAGGTGAGTCGCTCAACGATTTCGGGCACTTACTGGCCTCTGGACCAAATCAATCAAACAGTAGAAATCACAAGGGATTTTTTTCTAATGGGAAACACAAAATAATAACTATCAAATTGCCTGAAGAACGGGAAAACGTAAGTGACCAGTGTTATCAGTTGTACTCTTAACATATTCAGAGGTTGACACAAGTGTTCCATTCAATCACAAGCGAAACGAGCCAAATGGCTGCGATCCCGGATCGATATCCGTTAAACAACAAGTTCGGCGACGAAAGCTGGCGTGCGCGGTAAATACCCAGCCTAAGTTATGCGCGTATATTTGTCTGCGATGTCCTTCTCTAACACAAGATTGCACGTTTTACAAACAATCAACAAAAAATGCCGAGCAGCGTATGAAGCGGGGCTAGAAAATGGTCATTTCATCCCAGAATAGAATATTGAGGATATATCGACCCCTGACAGTACAGATAAAGTTAAGCTTTGAAATTTAACCTTCATTCTAACTTAGAATCGTACTGATCTGACCCACGTATCTCTAGGTTCGGCTTCCGCTGTTGTCATACTGATAGATACATGCCAAACAAATGCAAGATAGCTCCACTGCAAAACAACTGGGACCAGAAACTAAAGTACAAACTTCCGCGCAAGTATTACCTGGTGGGAGCCTTCAGTGATCATGATAATCATTATGAGTAAGTATATGTAACATTCTGAAGTTTACACTGACTAGAAAATAACAAGCTTGCAATGACCACGAGTGCAGCATAAGGCTACAGGTTTTACTTGCGTTTGAATCATCAGTTGAAGGCACAAATTATTTTTAGTGAATATTTTCAGGTATGCTTTTGGAAAAATCGTCGAAAGATTCATTTTTGGAAGTCAGTGCAAACTTAGCTAGCTATGGGAAAACATTTTTTCGCTGGCCACAACTCTACAGCCTCGGATTTTTAAACTGAGAAAGCGATGGATTACCTCGCTATCACAACCAAAGAAAGAAATTTTTGTTGTCTTAAAATTTTCGAACATTTTAATTCATACATCCACTAAATGCTTCATCAGCGTAATTTGTTCATTAACTGAAGAAGCTTAGTATTGGTTTNTCGAGATAAATTCGATTGAAGGCTTTTGACTTCAGCAATGAAGTGACAAATCTAAGGAAATGAAAAAAAGCGATCTACGAAAACGTTTGGCTGAACATTCCGGGTCTCACAGGGGACATAGATCAAAAACTCAATTAAAGTCAGCATTTTGTCTCTATTATATCCAAAGGTTTCTATAAGCGAGTGTGAGCCACGAAAACCCTTGTTCCCTTCGTTTTTTTATTCATGACGACATGAACGTCATGCAAGCTTTAGAGATGCGACTGAACGGAACAAACAAACAAACAAACAAAGTGCTATTCCTCACCCCTTCATTTTAATCCTCTCCGTCCTCAATCTATGCAGAATCGAGACAATAAAGAAAAGAATTCCGTAAAAAGGCGACTTTCATGTCTAGGCCATAACTAGCTTTTTCTTTCAGATAGAAGTTGTCTTTAGGCAATACCATCCACAGTTCTTATCATTCTAAAAACTGAAACAAATGAGTCGATGAAATGTAAAAATAATGACTGAGGGAAAGGCCAGGAGAGATATAGATAGTACACTTAAACTTTCGAAACAGATATCAACACAGAAACACTGATGTTCGTCCCAAGTGTTGGACCGGAAATGATTTGTGTGATTCTTGGTCACCAGAGCAGTACAATGGGCACAGTGTATATTCTCACCTGTAAGCTGGATTGTGTAGTAGAAGAATTCACTTCTGCGGTGTGAAAAAATAGGGTTGCTTGGCAATTTGCGGGTGCTATCTATAGTGTAACAAAGGATTTCTCGTTTAATAGAGGTTTGATAATACTGAAACATAAAATTGCAATTTGACTCAAACTTGAAAATTCTAAAATAAGCTAGATTTTTCAAATCTTTCAAACAGTGAAAAAACAGAAAAAAAGCCTTTGTCGAAAATGCGAGTTCTCAGTTCAAAACTAGAAGTTAGTGTGTCCTCAAAAAATTGGCTAGTGCCTTTTAAGGGCCTGACTGCTCCAGTATTTAACTTCAGTAAACCTCATTTTTCACTCTTTTAACAATATTATCTACTATTGTTGTTTCCATTAACGCATGTACACCATTAAAGGTTCTAGTGCATAATTTCCACGGGCACCGTAAAAAAACAAAATGCCATCTCAACAAAGACAACAAATAGATTTGGATAATTGAACTGGTAGATTTCCATTTTTCTCTTGAATCAAATGTTTAGTCGGTAATTTCTCTCGAATACAATTTGGTAACGTAAAAATTCTCGATAGATGAGATAGATAGATAGATAGTTTATTACCAAATAAAATACATTGCAGCCAGAGGCTGAATTGCGTGCTTTTCACAATTATTGATTATGTAAGACTATATAAGACTACCAATTACAAAAATGCTAAGACCTAAATAAAATTACTAATATAACTAATATACAGCAGAGGAATAGCTAAAAACCTAGGTTAGCATACGCACACATAGCTGGGATAAATGAAGATTTAAAACGATCAGTGCGAAAGCGCGGCATGTTAAAAACGCGCCGGTGTCTATTATTGTAAGCTGAAAGATGCCTATCTGGCAGCAAATTATATAATTTGTGAGATGGATTTGAGACACAAAAACAGATCCGTACATAATTTCATGCGTCTGTCATAGGGCGAAGCTAAACCGTGCCTTTCTAAAGAGTCATGGTATGACAGTTCTGGTGAAATGATGGATAATGCGCGTCTTTGGACCCTTTCAATGTCATCACTAAGATACGCAGGTAACGCATGATGGAATATTTGTGCGCAGTATTCCAGAACAGGACGTATAGTTGTACAATATGAATTAATTATGTCATCTGCTGAAACGCGGGCTCTTTTCAGGAGGACTAAAAAGTATAATCGTTTGTTTGCTCTTTTTATAACATCATTGACGTGGTTATTCCACTTAAGGTTACACGAAATAGTCACGCCTAGGATTCTAGCCGACTCTACCGTCTCTAATTCTTTGCCATCTACCAAGAGGGGAGTGAAATGGTGTTTCTGCCTTTTGTAGTCGATGACCATAACTTTGCATTTGTCAGCGTTAAGCTGCATCTTCTGTGCTTTGGACCAATCCTCCACCACTTTAACAGCGGTTTGGGCGTCACCTAATGCGTTACGCGGGACGATCTCTGCCACCGTCGTGTCATCAACGTACTTCCAAGTTTGAACCTGGGGAATTCTTAGATCGTTTATCATTAGCAAGAAGAGCCATGGCCCCAATTTTGTCCCCTGAGGTACACCAGCTGGTACGGGGCCCCACTCAGAGAAACAATCAGCAGATAATTTTATGCGTTGGTAGCGATGCAC